CCAGCCAAATACCCCTGTTTGAAGAGGCTTCCTCGAGAAACAACAAGCGCGACTCTCGTGTCGTTACGAATGCCGGATTCGAGTTAAACCCCCCCTAAACAGCTGGTCGAGCTCGACGCGGTATTGTCGAATCAGACGGTTTGTTGATCAACGGGTATTTGGTGTGTGTATAGGGTGGTGGCACGGTTGAGTTGAGGTCGGTCAGTCGGCTCAGTCGGCTCGCGGAATGTTAGGCGCGGGTCGCGTCCTAATTCAGAACTGCAGCTGAAGAGCAGCAGATTAGGCGACTTATTCAATTCAATCGCGAAAAAGACACGCAAGGGAGCGGCAGGTTGGGGTGTGAGTGGTGGGTTAGATTCTCGCACGCGGTTGTTTTGGTCGGGCGCGTGGGGACCGCCCTAGTCCGTTTTGGGACCAACGGCTATACTTCAACGCTCTTCTACTTTAACTACTTCACTGCTTTCATTCATATGATAATAAAATTGAAGCGCTGTTGATGTATGACATGTATGACTGGCTCTAAAATGCAATTCTCTCCCTCATTTCTTCTACCCCCAATCCTCGCAATGCGCAGATGCTGCTAGATAAACGCTATGATGTTTTCACCAGAATACAAATAACACCCCGACACCGATGTTGAAAAACAATATGTTCAGTGAGAAAAGAAAAAGCGGTGGGAGTTGAGCCCTGTCCACTCCAGAGGGGGGAAAGAATGACCGATCATTGGACCGACTTGAGTAAAGTGGAGGTCTGGCTGGGTGGTGCCAGACTGCCCTCGATGCGTCGCTTGGCTTCTTGCATCTCCTCGGCAGTGATATTCTCCGACTTCTTGGGCATGTCAGGTTCATACTGAGGAATATCAGGGCTGTGTCCGACAGACATGCCAACTCGGATCTAATGAGAAGGGAGTGTTAGTATGTAATTGATCAAAGATAAAAAACAGGGTTCGCCTCTTACCAAAGTTTCCAAGGCACCCTTGGAGTTGTCTGCCAGGTCCTTGTCGAAATTGACCTTGCCATCTTCAAAGAGCACTAAAAGGGTGCTACCACCGAATTTGAAGTAGCCCAGTTCTTCACCGCGAGAAACCTTCTCGCCAGCTTTCCGAGTGATGACGGTGCTGCCAACCATCATAGCACCAACGCAGACAACCATAACTCGGCCATGCTCAACAGAGTCAATGGGGACGAGAATGCGGACATTTTCACCGTAGACATCCAAGGCGGATCGGATCGCCATGGGATTCACTGTATAGTACTCACCCTCGATAGTTTTAGGTTCACCCATGATTCCATCTACGGGAATGTGGAAGCGGTGGTAATCTTGAGGTGCCAGACGGAACACTCCGAGACCACCATTTCGGTATCGAGCGGCATCCTCTGGGTAAGCATTTCCCAACAATCTTGCAATTGAGAACTCACGGCCCTTGACCCAGATGCTGGTTGCATCGCTCAAGCGGTCAAAGACCACGGATCGGCAGTCGGCAGGAGACACAACAATCTTGGGCTCATCGGGAGCGGAGCACGGACGGGCGTCAGGCTTGAGGGCACGGTAGAAGAATTCGTTGAAATTGCGGAACTTGTCTAGGGGCATCAAGACTTCGGACATATCCAACTGGTGGAAATTGATAAAGTCCTGGATCTGAGATGCCGAGGCTGGGTCGTCATATTTGCGACCCTGCTTGACACTCAAAGAGCGCAATACACGGCGGACTGGCAGAATTGTTAGCAATAGATATCTTTGTTAGACAGAGAAACTTGACATACTTCGCTTCTTTTCCATATCACGACTTTTGATACCCTTATATAGCAGCCGGATGCCGAGTCGCACATAAACACTCATGCGTTCCTCGTTGATCTGGCCCGTGATGCGATCTTGTACAAGGATATTGGCCGAGTTCGCTCCGAGTTTGTACCCGCCGTATGAAATCTTTGTAATAACTTTGGAGTACCACTTGCGCTGTGCCTGGCTGGAAGTCACAAAGCCACCCATCACTAAGTTGTCAACCTGGCGCCAGTCCTGACTTGCGCACGTGGCAATGTGCGTAATGATATCTGCATCAGAGCGTTTTGCGAGACGTGGCTGGTGGCAAAGTGGGCACTCGCGAATCTCGACCACATGCTCCTCACCCCTCTCGTCTGCGAGATCATCGGGCTGGAGGTACTCATCAGCAGAGCTGGATTGCTCTTCACTGGACAGTGTTGGAATAGATGTTTTCTGCGGATCGGTATTGGAAGCGGCAGCAGTGTTGGTTTCCAAAATATTCTCGTCGCTGCTAGATGGCTCACTATCCTGACTTCCAGCATTTGACAGAGGAAGCGAAGTTGCTCTGGGAGGAGCCATTGAATTCCTCTTCTGCAGGGTTTGAAGCGTGTCTTCGAGACAAACCACTGCCTGGTCGAATGTCAGATCATCGGTTTCATTGGACTCATTCTCTGCGCTGTAGCGTTCGAAGAAGCTGTCAATTGTCGACTCCTTTAGCGTTGAACCGAGAGTGTCAAGCATTGTCGTCATCTCCACCTTGTCAATGCGACCGCTATCGTCAGCGTCATATTGCCTAAGCATCAACCTCCAGAACTGCTGTCGGAGAGCACTATACGGCAGGTACTTTGCCTTGACATGCAGCTCTGGCGAGTGTTTGTCTTCCCACCGTTCTCTATTCTTGAGTATGAGGGGAATAGTATAAGATCTGAAGCCGTCCTCGTCAGGTGGAGGGGCTGACTCGGCATCATACATGTTCAGTGTGGACGGCTGCATTGAGCTAGCACTATCCATCTCTGAAATTCCTTCTTCTGGGAGGGAAGAGGGTGCAAGGAGAGTCGGCGCTGGCGTTTCGAGCATTGATTGGCTTGAGACTGAAGTGGCGGAGTGACGCGTCTTTATTATAGGTCGAGCAAGTTTGGAGAGACTTGATGAAGAATGCGAGGGCCTGACTCCAGATCGCGATGGGCTGATTCCGGATCGTGAGGGACTAACTCCAGATCGTGTACCGAACTTGGCAGCTGTAGTAGGATCAGCTTCCTCCACCTCGTCTACAAAGTGATATAATCCCGTCTCGGGGTCTGCTTCTGGGCCAGACCGAACGAGATTTTGCAGAGGGAAACCCGCAGAGGCAACAAAATCATTCCCGGAGAACTTGTCTCGATCTATCACAGTGAAGCTGATGGTATAAGATTGTTCATGCCGCATCACCTGGAACACCATCTTCTCATGATACACCGGGTTCAGGTTATGGCGGATGACCGGGGTTCTCAAGGTTTTCCTTCCGAGAGAGGTCACGACAAAAGGATCCATATCGAACGATGTCCGCGTTACTAGAACATCAATTAGCATCTAGCGTGTTGCCATGCAGAAGGATAGCCCATACCATTTCGCTCAGGAGGCAGATCGGTAACCTTGACGATTTCCATGAAGACAATACCCTGCACTCCGGTCCCCGAGCCTGAGAATTGGTAGGCACGAGCTGCCAGTGACTTGCGTCTCAAGCGAGCCAGCCGAAGTCGCCGACGGCGCTTTTCTCCCACTTCTGGGCCACCTGCCAGGTCATCGGCTTCATCAGAGGTCTCATCGTCCTGTTCCAATTCATCGAAGTCGGCGGGAGGGATCTGAGGTTGATCATCTTCGTCACCTGAGTATACCAATTTTTTGAACTTTCCGAATATATCCGGCGGCGTAGCAATGGGGTTCGCAGAATCGGAGAGGGAGAACTGCAACAGGATCTCGCCCGACACAGTGCTGTCCTTCCTTTTTGACGTCTTCCGCTTGGAATTCAAAGTGTACCATTTAGGCTGAGGATCAAGTCAGCACGAGCCACCAATTATCCGAGCAACGTGTCCCTTCACCCACCGGTTGGTTCACCTGGCCATCAGCGAAGATGTCCTCCAGTGCAATATCAAACTCGCCCAGGTAATCCTTGCCGAACCGATCATGATCCCAGCATATAGCTTCCAACAGTGGTACACCCACCACGGGCATCTCGAACGAGACGTTCCATTCTGGGTTCAGGGTCTTGAATATGGTCGGTGTCGACTGCCTCGCATCCCCTAATGTAACGACCAAATACTGTACAACATGTAAGCGGTCTCGGTTCGAATTGCCTTTGTTGGAGGGGTGCTTACTGGGTCGCTCGTGCCACCTCGATCTTTGGCTGCGAGGTTGCGTCCCTAATGAACCCATTGAAATCAGCCAGGGAGCCCAGGATATAAATAAAGGTCACACAATTCTTCAATACTTACCCGGATCACTGAAACCTTGAGTAGTAGGGGTTTGGTTTCCGATGATCGCAAAGGACTGGTGCTTCTGCTCTGTCCGGGAGTCGACGACGCGCTCCTCGCGCTGAGGTGCGAGCTCAACCGTTGGGGTAATGCCAACCGGACCATTGCGGATGTGCACAAAATAAGAAGAAAGAAGAGAAGAGAAAAGAAAGAAGGCCAAAAAATTGTTGGGCGGGTGGCTTGGCCCCCCTGGTCAACACAATTGTTGACGTCTTGAGAGACCCCAGACGTTGATCGACGATCCGCTGGTTGTGCTCCGGGTCGATCACAGGCCAAGAAACGGATTTACCCACTGCAATTTCCAAAGTTGCTTTTCAAAAACAGGGATTGGTTCAAATAGTTATAGGTTAAAAGGATCATAAGATCTTAATGGAAATGTAGAGAAACTTGAGGGGAAAAGTGGAAGAAACACTGCGAATTGGGGGCAACTGGGGGGGTCGATATCAAGAAAGACCCCACACCGCAAGTTATTACAGGGTGAAAGAGGGAAAATGGATGCCTATTATGTACATATGTACTTACTTAGCGATGCCCTGAATATCCCTGAATATCCCCGTATCTCTTTTGATTTTTTTAAAAAAGGAAAACTCATGTATGCAATGTACTCCGTAAGGCCCTGCACGAATGGTATGCAGTACCCCGCATCATATACTATTCCACTACGTATATCGTAGCCCTGCGCTGGAAATTATATTGCTATGAATTTTGTAGAAAAGGATAGATCTAAAGTCAGTCTTGTCGTCGGTCTGTTCGTCCCCAAACCTCGTCAGCATTAGCTTTGCCCTTGGTTTCCGGCACAAATTGATAGATGAAGATCCCGAGCAACCCGGCCATAGCCGCAAACACCCAGTACACCTGCCCACGACCACCAAGAGCATCATCAAGCACTGGGAAGAATTGTGCCACCACAAAAGTTGCGATCCAGTTGGCACCCAGCGCCCAGCTTTGTGCCGCGCCGACAGCCTCGGGCCCCACAAGCTCGGAGGCCAGGATGAAGGGGACCGGGCCCAGTCCGACCGCAAAACTTGCCACAAAAAGTAAGGCAGCAATCGCCGTCAAGATCTTAGCACTGATGTAGATACTTATCGCGAGAAGTATAGAACTGCACCCCATACCGCAGATGCTCAGCATTAGGCACAATTTTCGACCAATGCGATCGGGTAGTGGAGAGCACGCGAGAGTGATCACAAGATTAACCGCAGATATCATTACCGTGAGTAGCGCAGCAGTCGTGGGTAAGATGCTTTGTAGTAAGGACACGCTGTACATAACAATACTGTTCATTCCGGTGAGTTGTTGGGCGACCATCACGCCAACCACGGCAATAATAGCTGGGCGGTAGTAGGGGTCTTTGACAACCTGCATAAACGTGACTGCAGGCTTCTGAGGCGGCCTGTCACCAGATGGAGAGAGCAAGGATTCTTCCTCGCCAGATACAGGGGCATCTGTGGTCCTCCAGCTCGCAATCTCCGCTTCAATATCGGCATCCCGACCACGGATCCGCTGCAGGACCCGGCGTGCCTGACTGGTCTTTTCGTGTTCCGCGAGCCATGAAGGACTTTCTGGTACCAAGAAAAGCCCCAAAAGTTCCAGAGCACCAACGATACCAGCCACAGCCAGTATGAGTCTCCAGAGGCTTGCTTCGCTCCAGAAGTATCCCAGAGATTGGGTCAACAGGATACCAACATTGGTCATAATCTGGGTGAAAGCACCAAAGAGGCCTCGAGCACTGGGAGGAGCGATTTCCGAAATGTAGATAGGACCAACCACAATTGCAGCACCAGACCCAATTCCAGAGAGGAATCTACCAAGACTCAAGATAGGAATCGCCGGTGCAAGTGTCTCTGCCACAGGCCCCAGAACAAAGAACACTGTGGTCGCTCGTAATGCGAGCAGACGTCCGTATTTGGTCGCGATAGGTCCCGCCAGCAGGGCTCCGAGTAAACCACCGAGCGTGTAGATCGAGGAGACGAGGCCGAATTGCGATGGGGTCATAGGGAAGCATTGCGGTAGACCATGAAAAGGGATGCCCGAAGAATGAATCCCTTGACGTTCACATGTTATCACGGCTTTGGGGGCATTGAGCTCTGCCTGGATAATCGACGTATCAGTAATGTTCAGTGTACATAGAGGGGGGGATATCGTACCAGATGGAAACCAAATTGAAGGGGGCCAAGCGTGACAACAAACACGAGATATATTAGGTATGGTGTAACCCTCGACTGAGTTGATGTACCCAAAACCATTGCGAGACAAATTCTAGGTCAACCGACGACCTTAGGACAGATTCAAGGTACGTTAAGAGGAGGTCCGGAGCCTAAGATGACGTTTTGCCGATAGAGATAAGATGATCTTAGGTTAAATTGGTCAGACGAGAAATGTCTGCCTAGGTATCCAAATTTCACATTGAATTTAGTTCGTAGGGTCCCCTTCATTCGGAAATGACTTGAACCAGTTGAATAGCTGAAGCTGCAAGAAGTTGAAGCTACAACCTTCCAGGCCGTTCGACATGTGATCTGACTAAGCGTTGACTCGGTTGAACTTATCGCATTATACAATTCAGACAATACATAATATACCTTGGAAATATCTCTCTTCTGTTCTTTCAATCCTTTTTTTATATTCAAAGAACTGGAAACCGTGGAGAAGGGTATCTCTCCACCAATGGAGTGACAACATCACCGGCCCATTCTGATCCACAAATGAGTCTGACCAACCCGCCCTCTTCCTCCGGCTCTCTCTCGCGAACCAGAGTCGGTAACTTGAAACGGAGTCTCCAGGCTACTGTCGATGGTAATTATATATCTTCTTTGAATCTGGTTACTCGTGATTCCTTGGTGTAACACCTTGTCTCTTCCTGTCTCTCCATCATGTTTGGAAAAGGTTTCCCTTTCTTGAATTCTGGAGGATTCTATTCTCGTGGTAACTCTTTCCCTTTGATTCTTTGTGATGATGTTGTTTCTGTGGTACTAGTTAACAATTGGAATGGACCCTGGCCAACACATTCGATCCTCAACCTGGCAACCGGAATATGCTAACCGAGGGGGTTTATACAGATGCCATTGAATCAAGAAGACCCGGTGGCTATACCAGCAAAGTCCGGGTCCGAGATCGGTATAATATAGTAGGCTTCATCAGCAGCGGTACCTATGGCCGAGTGTACAAGGCCGTCGGCAAGAATGGCAAAAAAGGAGAGTTTGCAATCAAGAAGTAAAAGGATTCCCCTCCAACATTCGATTTCTTCTTTATTCTAACCTCATCCAGATTCAAGCCCGACAAAGAAGGCGAAACGATCCAGTACACGGGTCTATCGCAGTCGGCTATCCGTGAAATGGCATTGTGCACGGAACTCTCGCATGCCAATGTTGTCCAACTAGAAGAGATCATTCTGGAGGACAAATGCATCTTCATGGTATTTGAATACACAGAGCATGATCTGCTGCAGATCATTCATCATCACACCCAGCCTCAGCGACATGCTATTCCAGCACCCATGGTCCGATCTATCATGTTCCAGTTGTTGAATGGACTGCTCTATCTGCATACCAACTGGGTCCTGCATCGTGATTTGAAACCAGCCAATATCCTCGTCACCTCAAGCGGTGCTATTCGCATCGGCGACTTGGGGCTCGCCCGTCTGTTCTACAAGCCACTCAACTCCCTATTCTCGGGCGACAAAGTCGTTGTCACAATCTGGTACCGTGCACCCGAGCTGCTCATGGGGAGCCGACACTATACTCCTGCCGTCGATATGTGGGCAATAGGATGCATCTTCGCCGAATTACTCTCACTCCGACCAATCTTCAAAGGCGAAGAAGCCAAAATGGACAGCAAGAAAACAGTCCCCTTCCAACGCAATCAAATGATGAAGATTGTTGAAATCCTCGGTCTTCCCCGCAAAGAATCCTGGCCAGGCCTAGCCTCCATGCCCGAATATTCACAACTCCAGTCCCTGGTGCTCCACCGCCAACCTTCACATTTCCATCGCGGCTCTAATCTTGAGGGCTGGTACCAGAGTTGTTTGAAAAACGGCGGATACACTTCCACATCCGGTGCCGGCACTCCCGGTGCAGATGGTTTCGATCTTCTGTCGCGTATGCTTGAATATGACCCGTCGAAACGGATCACCGCCGAGCAGGCCCTTGAGCACCCGTACTTTACCAATGGCGGCCCCATCAGCGGCAACTGCTTCGAGGGTATCGAGGGCAAATACCCACACCGTCGGGTCACCCAGGATGACAATGATATTCGCACCGGCAGTCTTCCTGGCACCAAACGGAGTGGACTGCCGGATGATTCATTGATGAGGGCTTCCAAGCGCCTCAAGGAGTAATCCTCTCATTTGCTTGCTGCATATCTGTGTTGATCATATTTTGCGGCGTGTGGATAGGCTGGCCATGATATCCACCCACATCATACATTTAATTCGGTGTTAGCGTTACGATGACTAGGGGAATTGCATCATGATGATTTACGCGAGATTTGGTTGGCCATTTAGCCCTAGAGGCTACAAGACCACTAAGTATTTTGTATGAACGTGAATTTAATGCCCAATTAAAGGAGTCATTCGAACTCTATCAGATACTGATCATTTCAATTGCATAGGATGCGCCATTTGTACTCATACCTCCCATCATTTCCCATTTCCCAATCCCATATTCGCAAATATCGTACATGTTGAACCATCCCCGAAGAACCCCCAGATAGCACCCGATGATGATAACGCCGAAAAGATGAAAATAATTGCGTAAAAAGACAATCAGTACCCTACCACCAAAGCCAAGAGTGAGTGATCATTGCCAGAAGATCGAACAAGAAATTAATAGTCACTTACCATTCTGTTCGTGTCGCTTGTCTCCGCTGGTGTCATCCTTACCATCACCACCCACAGTAGAAGCGTGATTAGCGGCATCTTTGATGCCTTGCTCATCGCCACGCAGCGCCTCAAAGTAGCCTTTGATATCTTCCGCACTGACAGCCTGTCCACTCTCAGCGAAGGGCTGCAGGAACACCTTGAGTTTGTCACGCAGATGGTTGTATGCCATTGCACCCTCGATGGCACGCACCCGATCCATGTTGTTGAGCGCTGCCTCGCCGCGATCGTAGATGCTTCCCGTGCCGACACTGGCGGCACCATTAGCCTCGCCATCGTCAGACATGGGAGGCTCATATGTATCCTCTTCTTCGCGAAGCTGGGGGTGGGGAACCAGCTTAGGGAAGCACTCCACGCAGCGGCACAGTTGACCATGGAAATCTTCCAAGGCAAAAAGTGAGAACGATTCCACTGGAGTGGACTTGGGGAGCTCGGTGTGCTTGGGGGCGAATGGCTTTGTAGAAGCATCGCTTTCTTTCTTGGTAGGTTCCTCTTCCTTCACGGCCTTCGATGGCTGTTCCTCGACAGAAGCTTCTTCTTCTTTAGTTCGCTTGGTGACAGGCTCTCCTTCAATAAGCCCCTCGTCATCTGCCTTGCGCTTTTTTGATTGCTCGGTCTTCTCATGGTCCTTAGGTTCGATCTCCTTGGGCTCAGTCTCCTTAGGCTCAGTGGCTGGTACAGACAGGTCGTCAATCACATTTGAGGCCTTCTTGAGCCCACCTTCCCGGAAAACCGGCGGCAAGAACCCAGGAGTGCCCGCGTAGGGTTTGAGCCAGGAGTTAGAGTCGATACATTTGAAGCAGATCAGATGGTCGAAATCATCCTCCGCGGGAAACCCAGGTGGGAGTATATCTTCCTCGTCCTCTGCTGGAACGTCATTGGTGGCATCACCGCCGCCAAGTCCATTGGCCTTTGGGGTAGCCTTGTTCCAATCACGCGACAAGCCGATAAGACACTCCGGGTGCCACCAGTCCTCGCCACAGCCTCCGGTCTCGACGGTGCCAAGTCCCAGACACTGGTACATTGTTCCCTTTTCCGAATACGCATCGTACTGTTCACCGCACCCACAGAACTGATTGCGAAAGTTATGGTTGTATGCGTTGCCTGCTGCAGCCTTTTGGGAGTGCACGCCCTTCTTGCCGGTTGCCGGATCTTCACGCAGTGTGCAGCAAGAAGATGATGGTAAACGAGTGGTTCCGCAATCGCAAACAAAGTTGCGCTTGTTGAAGAGCTCGACTAAAGTATGCTCACCGTGGCAAGCGATCGAGCACGAGTAACAGACGGCAGCGGCAGTGTAGGATTCGTTCGAGTCGGTAGGAGGAGGATTGCAGGTGAGACATGCAAAGAGGACCTGTCGCAATGGTCCAAGATCATATGTGCAAGAGTCAAAGGCCTAAAGTCAATAGGTCAGCTGTGGAACAAGTCGCGCGCCACCTGCTTTGTCGAGACACTCACATAAGGAAGAGCCTCACGCGCATCTGCTTCTAGTTGGAGTTGGGACTCAATAAACCTTAAATGAGTTAGTATGATCGGTTTCCTAGTGTGGGGGAGAGTATTCGGGGAGTGCGTCATACTCTTTCGCGGTCTGGGAATTCTGGGAGCCCATGCTCTCACTACGGGCATCCTCAGCAAGCTGAGCAACAACCGAGTGCGTGGGGTCCATTGTTGGGGCGTTTATCTGCGTCTTTATTGTAGGATTGGCAAATAGCTCAAGGCCTAAGAGTCACGGGTGTCAAGGCAATATGTTGGATAAAGACGCGACGAGATAGAGTCGCGACATAACTTAAAGTTTCTGCCGGCAGATTCCTACGAAATCAGAGCGGTCTAGATGCGCGGAGCATCTTTCCAATATCATGTCAACTTAGACTTAGAATATCCTCTATCATTTAATAATAAATTTTAGTTTAATGTGCCATCATGATCATAGCAGAGTGAGGTCAAAGGGAAATATTTAGCAGTCGAACAATCTTATTTTTTTAAAATAATTCATGTTACTTTGCCATCCTACACCGCCTACGATAAACAATGATACCCGCCTCCTATACATAGTTACTCCGTAGTACCACATACAATCCCCTCATGGGTCTCCTCTTAAGGTCAAACAAGCACGCTAGGCATGCAGGTGGGCCCGATCCTGGCTGTTGATACCGCTCGTTCTACCAGCACTGTGATCACGATATCAACTGTCGACGTCGGCCCACTGATTGGGATCTCGAAATCACACTGCGATGGCTACAAGCGGAGAATAGAGATCGTATGAATCAAAATATGCTGCTCAAGTTTAGAGGCGACAACCGAGAATAAATTATTCGACCGTGTTTCTTTAATCGAGAGCAGATATTGTACTTGATCCGCCGGGAAGCTTTCATAGAGTACTCCACAGATACTCGACCATACATCTACTGCCATCCTAAATCAGGCAGTATTATTCGCGTATAATATGGAATATTATTATGCATTCCGGTATTTAAGTAGTTTATGGTGTTCTCCTTGGCTACAATAGGCGACTAAACAAGGTCAAAGTGGTATTTGCGGGATGCGTGATATCCGCCTCCACTCCACCGCCCCACCCCCGGGTACATACTGTATTGCAGTGGCCCTGAAGACGCATTTGATTTGAAATCCAAAGATTAACTTCTTCAAGGCTGTATATTATTGACTTTGCGGGAATATTGGCCCTTTGCATGTTCCTGTTAATTCCCGATATTGCTTGGTTTGTGAGGCTATCCCTCACCTTGGCACATTATCCCTAATCCAAGGCGCATCCTGTAGGCAACTATGACCACTTTCCTTTTGAGCCTTTCGAATTTGCTCAGATCCTATGAGAGTGCAAACATATTGGATTCTAAAAGGGGCATGTCGGATAAGAACTATAGACGACAGGGATCATCCACTGATTTCTAACCAGCTCGAATTTTGGGCTCTGGGAGCTCGATTATTCCTTTTCCCTCCCCTCCAAAGTTTTCTCATGTCTCAATTTCTTTCGAGTTCATCTATGCTTCTTGCGCATACTTTTCTCCTTTCTACTGAGAACAATTCCTTGTTGGCTTGCCAACTATTGCCGGAAAGATACCAGCCTATACGTCTGGGGCAATTGAGACTGGCAAAGAGAAGGAGAAAAGTACCCAGACAACTGATCTGATGCGCTCATGAGAGATAGGCCAAATGCACCACTTCCACCACCTCCCGATGGCGGGTTTCATGTCTGGACTAAGGTCGTTGCGGGACGCTTAGTCGTAGCCCTAACTTAAGGCTACGCTTCCAGTTTCGGTGTGTTCCAAAACTACTATGAGTCTACGCTATCACAGGCCCCCTCCGATATTTCATGGATCGGTGGCTTCCAGGTCTTCTGTCTTTTATTCATCTCGGCGCTCTAGCTCGGACGTTGATATCTTCGTCGATGCAGATGTCACTGTCCGAAAACTGCTACTCCAGGTGTCCAGCCTCTTGTCCCAGTAATATCCTAGTTTTCAGTTTTCATGCATGATCACGATACGATTCGGGTCGAGATCTTTCGTGGTATCTACAGTTTAAGCTATCCGATGCAGCTTTCATTCCTCTCCACTGTATTTCTGCCAGTGACTTACCAGGACACGCTGGAGATATGTGCTACCTTGTGCCAAAACCGATAGAAAATGATTGCCTTGACAATTCGTGCTTCTCACAAACTTTCACCTATTCATGATCGACTGGCCAAGTGGTTAAGGCGTCTGTCTTACATTTCATATGTTGGAGTTTCACAGAAGGTCGCAGGTTCGATCCCTGCGTCGATCATTGACTTTTTGCGATTTTAGTTTTTGCTGCAGGTGTAGTTTCAATTATTTTTAAATCTCGATTTCTACTGTATTTCTCCAGCATTATAAAAAGAAAGTGTGGAATACGGAGTGTGAAGAGAAACCAGGAAGGCGTTGGGTTGAAGGAAACTGTGGCCCACCTTCCTAATCGGTGCTTAATTGAAACGCGTCGCGTCCAACACGCGACTTGCTGCACAACTCAACTTTGCCGCCCCTTCTCCCTCCCTTCATTCTATCAACCACGCTACCACACATTTGGGAAAAAAAACTCCCGAAACATATACACCACTTATCCATATTCATAATTTCCTGGCGATTGCCCATTTTTTTCTTTAAAATTTCCTAGTTGAAACACCCCGCACAATGGAGTGAGTCTGCCTCCTGAATTTTCTGCGCTCAAAAGACTAATGCACTACAGTCCGCTCCGAGCCAGCGACTCGGCCGCAAACCGTGGCCGAGGGGCCAATACTCGCAAGAGAGACAGAGAGGATGAAATGTCCTCCCCGGCGCCATTGCCTCCATCCAGTCGTATGTTTGCTTCCTTGTCTGGGCTGTGTCAATGTATGACTGACAATGGTTATGTGTAGCCACCGCTTTGGGCTCATCCCCTCCCCCGATCCCCTTTGACATGGGAGATGAAGATGAGGACGAGGATAGAGGTCTCGT